CCCCCAGCTGTCAGCCTGCTCTCTATGAGTCTGTCTCTATTGAGAAATTATTTTTATGTCTAGAGAATTTTCATTAAATATAAAACCACTAATTTAAAATATTAAGATTTGTCTCAAGGCATATTTTAAATAAAATTCTGAATGTATTTTTGTGATGTACACACAAATATAAATATAAATAAGGATCTACTATTAGCTTTTTTTACATCATGAAGAGCTGGTATATTATAGATAGGTACCAAAATTGACAATTTTTTGTAGAGAGCTTTGTGTTCTGTATAGATATTGCATTTAGGGATACATGAGGAAACCTAAAGAAAAATAAATTTCTTTTGCTTAAATCCTTGATGGTTGTAAATCCTTGATGGTTATAATATAGGTAATCTTAAGAGCAGGGATAGAGAACTACAGCCTTTTGCTTAGATTTTGTCCAGCTCACCAGATTCTGATTTGTCTGTGGCTGCTGCAAATCATAGAGAATCATTGCCTTTTGATGGCTGCTCTCAGTTGATCCTCTGAAGGTTTTAAAACATAAGGGGAATGTGCTCTAAAGAAGCCAGTGCCATGGTGTCTCCAGGTCTGCCTTAATCATTCTCCTTCTTGGCCCCTGTATTTAAACTTTGGACCCTTGGTTAAAAAAATATATATGGGGCAATCTATTTAATCATAGGACATTTAACTAATTCAAAATACTACTTCATTATTGTATTTCTATGAATAAATTTGGAAGTTCTGGTTTCGTAAAGAACAGATTTGTTTGAGTAAGAAGTGATATATATATTTTGACATTTTATTACATTTATTGTCTTAATTTCTAAGGGAAAAGTTGATGTTTACAGGTAATAAAGTCTCAGGAGTACTATCTACTGCTGTAAAAAGTAATTAATTTCAGATGTAATTAAAATAAAACAAAAACTATTAGACACAACATTGGTTCATGATAGAATATTAAACACTTATTTTGGAAACATCTTTAACTATATACTGTAATCTAATAAATTTTCTTCAGATACACTATTGCGGATACAACAGATATTCCAGTGTAACAGGCTAATAATCATACTAACTAAATGGAGGGATAAAGCAAGACTTAAGTGTCAAGAGAGAGAAAATTATCTGGTATGGTATATTGGAAACTTAATTTTTTTTAGAAACTGAATTTTGCTGTTATATTAACATTGCCTCAGATGATAATGCTATGTGTGGAAAATACTAAAATCTCAACTGTTATGTGCTTTTGACGGGGGGTCCTTACTCTTTTAACTTAATAATTTAAATTTCACTTCAGCTACCCAAAAGATTTCCTAATAAATTCTGTTGTTTCATTTCAACTATAAACGTCAAGGAAAAATCGTTTAACATTTTGTCTAAGTTTATTGAGAAAGATACTAAGAATTTTGTTTAAGCAAGTATTTAGATGGATATAGATGTCTAAAATGGAAGAGAAACTATTGGATGTGATTATAATAGAGAAATAAATGATAAAGATGGGATAAATTTATTTTTTCTAGATAAGATTAAATTGCTATTTATTCTTTTTCAATATCCAATTTAATACATTATAATCTTAATATCAAATTATTTTTAAAATTACTGAATTGCTAAGCTTAAATGATCATTCTTACCTGGGACACCCACTAGCAATTAAAGCAATTAAAATAGAGGACCCAAGCAAACTCCTCCAAACTTAAAAATATCTCTAGTTTGGTTAAGCTATAAATATATTATTATTTAATGTTTTAAAATATTCACAGGAATTCCTTGGGTTATACATAAAAAGATGCTGGAAAATTTTGTAGTTACATTGTTTAGTAGGAAATGCTTTATTAATATTCTTTGAAATGAAAATTCAAGATAAAAAGGAAAGAGAAAAATAGGAAGAAATTAAACCCTCTGTTTTGAGGTTGCCTCTGAGGAAGGCAAAATCAATGCTTCCCACCCCAAACTGGTTCAGATGTTGAGACTGATGATACTACACACTTATGAGAAGAGAGTAGGAAAATATTTATTACTCACATATTGCTTGAAATGTTGCTAGAGTCTGTGGTAGCTATGAGATGCCTAAAGCATAGTCCTTGCTTCCTAGAAGTTTATCATCTACTGATATTGAATGCAGGATATCTCCTAGCTTTTGCCTTTTGTGGACTATACTTTTAACCTTGCCAATTAAACAGTTATACTTTGGGTACCACTGTTTTAAGTCTGCTCAATCAGTGTTTTCCACCACTTTGTGTCCTAAGATAGAATTTTGACCCCAGATCCCCATGTCTGATCATTGATTGTCTAATGGGGAAATAGGTAACTGTATGTGACCAATCTGCCCCTTAAACTGAACATCCCTGAGAGGAATGTTGTTCTCTTAAGCATCTCCACACACTGAACATAATGTTTTGCACACAGTTAATATATATTAATATATAATAATGCATATTATATATAAAAATAATAACATTACCCTTAATGTGGATGTGGATTATAGTATAGTTAATTGGGTGCCTAGACAACACCTTTTCTTCTAGCTATGTGACTTGTTGGCCTCACAGCCATTCTGCACGAGCTTAGGTGGAGCGAGGATGTCTGTGTCCAGGGTGAGGGTCAGGGGACATTTCTGTGGGCTAGTTCTGCAACACGTGCTCTTCCTGAGGCTCTGATACATATATACAGGGTGTCCCCAAAAATTTCTGCACACTTTGAATGATTATAAAGTTAGCATTTATTAACATACAGTTCATTTTCAAAATTTAAAAGAATCTACAGAAATGAATAATTTTTTTTGTCAATGCCCATTTTCAAACTGATGACCACTCTGGTCCAGGCACTGCTGATAATGTGAAGCAGCGGAATCGCAAGCATCAAGAATCATTTCGTTCTGTATTAGTGTGCCTTCAATTCGTCAACGGTTGCTGGTTTTGAACTATAAACTTTATTTTTTATGTATCCCCCTAAAAAAGTCTAGTGGAACTTTAGGATAAATTTTCTTTGTTTAAATCTTAGTCTGGCTTCACCCATATTTCAATCAGTTGAACCTGAAAAGGAGTGAAAATTAAGTGAGTGATCAGCTGTGTATACATTTTTGGAGGACACCCTATATATTAAAACAAGATTGTGTGTGTGTGTGTGTGAATGGGTGAAACACTTATTTACCCTAAAGGTTTTTTCCTTTATTATGCAGTTTTCAGGACTCTATGGAAAGTTAAAATTGGGACTTTTTGTAATGATAAGTCAAGCAAATCCCCAAATTCCTTCTTTCTGACTCTCCTTTTAGTTTCCATGCTCCCTCCCTCCCTTTATGCCCCAAATACAGGTTCTATTATTACCAGAATCTTGACACTGTGGGCTTCAGCTTCTTTGTTTATTAAAAAGGAGGATGGACCACATTTTCAGGTGGATGCCTGTGCCAATGTTGTATGACCACTGATGTAAATGATCTATAATGCTTTAATGGTTCAGAGATTATTAAATATGCTCTGGATAATGATATTTTATGTACTGATGATAATAATGTTTAATAGATGCTATCATTGTGTCAAGCTTTGTGCTTTATATATATATCATCTCATTTAACCCTTGCAACAATTCCATGGAATTTCTAAATTGTTTTCATGGCAGATATTAAAACATGAACTTCAATTGAAAAAATGGAGAAACAGGATAAAATACAAAAGAGCTGCTGAAGAACAATTAATTTCTCCTAAACAAAGTCTGTCTGGAGACTCTTCTGTAAGTGAGATTTATGAATGTGACATTTCACTATTACCAGAAAGAGCAGTATTACAGGTTTGTATGAATTTATATCTTAACTAGTTATTTTCACAATGTTTGTTTAAAGAGTGGTTTTATGAACCTTACATGGATGATGGAAGCCATATTTTGAGGAAATATATTTTTAAAAATTAGCTGTGGGCTATCTCATTTTTTGGAGGTTATCCATTTGGATGGCTACCAGATAAATATAATAATAAAAAATAGAGAAATTAAAGCTATAGGAAATTAGAATGAAAGGAATGTTTTTTCTTTCTCCTTCAAACATATATTGTCATTTAAGGTGCAACAGATTTTAGATACCCAACGCTTTCCTGTTAATCTCTAATTTCTAATCGTTTAGTCTTAACGTTATGCCTCCACTCTGGAATGTGCATGGGCTTGTCTTATTGCAACTTTCAGTTAGTTAAAATATTTATGCATATCATTTTTCTTCCTTAGATTGTGAATTCATAAAAACAAGAATCATGTATCTATATCTTATAACTCATTGAGTTGATCTATGAAAAATAAACCATAATTCCAAATACTGGTTATATTCTGTCCTATTTTGATGGATAAGTAATTTTCACTGTTTGGGACTACCTGAGAGATGGCAGAAGAGTTATAAAATAGTACCTTATTTTGGTTGATGGCAGCTTTACATTGTCAAATCCCATGTATTAAATCCACTCTTTTAAATGTACAGAATTGAGCACGTTATTTTTGGGGACAAGATCTATATATCTATTATATGTATATCATCTATATAATCTCTATATCTATATAATCTCTACCTGTATCTATATCACCTATCTATATCTATCTATATCTATCTGTATCTATATAACCTATATAATCTATATCTATCATCTGCCTGTATCTATCTATATCATCTATATCTCTATCATCTATCTATCATCTATCTATCATCTATCTGTCTATCTATCTATCATCTATCTATCTATCTATCTATCTATCTATCTATCTATCTATCTATCTATCTATCTATCATCTATCATCATCTATCTATCTATCATCATCATCTATCATCTATCTATCTTATATCTATCATCTATCATCTATCTATCATCTATCATCTATCTATCATCATCTATCTATCATCATCTATCATCTATATCTATCTATCTATCATCTATCTATCTATCATCTATCTATATCTATCTATATCTAATCTTGCACTTTATGTATAGCATGAAGTTAGGATCAATTTTTTTTTGCCCATTATTCCTTTTCTATAAATTGCCTGCTCATATCTTATTTATCTTAAAATTTGAATTCCTATAATCTTCTTACTAGTTTGTAATAGCTCTTTACATATTGGTAATAAGAACCCTTAGCCTGGAATATATTTGAGATTCCTGCCCCTCCCTCCCCAATGTTTGCTTTCAATTTTGCCCGTGGAGTCTTTTGATGAGAGAACTTTTAAAACTTTATGTAATAAAGTCTATCTATGTTGTTCTAATTATTTCTCTTTTTGGGTCATACTAATATGCAATTTTTAGCTGTTTTTCTAAGCCATATCACACTCCTTCCTACAGTTATGTATCTGTTTTTTTGTCTTTGGGTTTCTATACCTTTGACTACTACTGTTTCTTTGTTTATTTTATCACTGGCTGCACTAGGGATTACAATATGCATTTTCAACTTATTACAAATTATGCTTTCAAATAGTTTTTTACCACTTCACATATAAGAACCTATCAAGAGTATGCTTTCCTTTTCCTTCTCCTGTGCTTCATGCTGTTATTGCCATGCATTTTATTTCTATGTATTTATAAACCCTACAATATAATTTATTATTTTTGTTTTAAACAGTCAATTATATTTTATCTAGTATATATATATATATATATATATATATAATTTAAATTTTTTTTGCACATACATCAGTTGCTTTACGTACAACAAAAGAATGGGGAAGGGGAAAATGAAAGAATGTAGAAAACTACTGTAGTAGTCAGGATGTGGTGGAACCAAATTGCAGTTTTGTAATTGAGAATGTCTTGGTCTGGAGGAACAGAGTTCTGGAGTAAAGTAGCAGGTTCTGTTTTTAGTAGACACCTCCTCTCTGCTGCTGGAACATATCAGCTATATCTTCATCTTCCATTTCCAGCTGTGCAGTGCATCTGTTTCATTGATTGGCTGCCTGTCAAATTGGATTCTGTTCTGCCTCATTGACAAACCCCGTCTTTCAGAGTACACTTTCATTAGTTTATTAAGTAGCGTATGCCTCTGAATCTTACACTGCACCACAGAACCATCCTGCCCCACCACCTTCAAATTAATGAGATCCTTGTTTTCAGTCTTGACTCCTTCCTTTGATTTCTCCTTAGCCATGGCAAGCACCAGAGTCTGCTCAGTTGCCACTTTACAAAAGAAATACCAGACTCACACCCAACGAGCACACAAGCAGCACCAGGGGTGGTAGAGAAGGCTATTTTTATTTTTAACAATCTCAAACTTACAGAAAAGTTGCAAGTACAGTACAAAGAACTTTTTTTCCTGAACAATTTGAGAGTAAGTTGCTGACATGATACCCCATCACCCTAAATATAACCAGTGTATTTTCTATAAACAAGAACATTCTCTTATAGTTAGCTATCAAAATCCTCAGACCCAATTCAGGCTTCTCCACTTGCCCTAGTAATGTCCCCCAATAATTCAAACGGATCCAGTCTGAACCACACATAACAGTTGATTGTCCCATCTCCCTGGTCTCATTCAGTCTGCAACTGGTCCTTAGTCTTTCTTTAGTGTTCATAACCTTGACATGAAGATTAGGCCAGTTTTATTGTAGAATATCTTTCAGTCTGAGCTTGCTTTAAGTTTCCTCAAGGATATATTGAGCTTATGCATTTTTGTAAGAAATATCAGACATTACGCTGTGCTCCTCTCACTGCATTGTGTCACTGGCACAGGATTTGGATTGGCCCATGATTGGTGATGTTCACTTTGATCTCTTGATTAAGGTGGTGCTGCCCAGCATCTCTACTATTCAGTTCCCCCTTTTGTAATTGATATGCATTTTGTGGGCGCTTACTTTAAAATTATATAAATATTCCCATTCCTCATCAAGTTTTCAGTTTATTTATATCAGCATGGGCTCCTGGCTTTCTATTTTTACAATGGGGTATAATCCTTTACTATCATTATTTATTTTAGTGTTCAAAATGTCCCAGATTTGGACAGTAAGAGTCCTTTCCAGTTGCCTTCAATGTCCTTTTTATACGCAACCATCATCCTTTGAGCACTTTCTTACTTTGCAGTACAGCGTGATGTCCCAGGCTCTCCTTGTACTTCCCTTGCTGCACATTGCTGCAAGATTCCCTGAGTCCTTTTTAATGAAAATTATACATAGAAACCAAATTTGAGCACTACCTGTGTTCATTGCCATTGGAGTGGCACTTCTCCAATTCTTTCTCAGTAGATAACTAGAGACTATAAGTAGCACAAATATATGCACATTTATTTCCATATCTACATACCTCTGCATACTGAAAACCTGAATTGCACATGGATACTTTCAGTTCCAGTTTAGCACCACAGGGCTCATTTCTAGTTTTCTCCCTTTCCAATTTGCAATGTCCTTCTCCAACAGTGAGAATCCCAGCTCTTATTATTCTTAATATATTTACTTATTTGCTCACTCCCCCTGTATATAACCAGTCACACACATTTCTGCCCTTGTGTCCTCCCTGTGTGGATACCTTCCTCATCCTGCTTGGGCTTTGACATCCCTTATCAGGTCACCCTCTTATGTAGAGGCCTTCCTCACAGCGCGTGGGCTCTGACATTCTGTGCTAGGTGCCTTTCCCGCTATGAAGTTGCCTTGCTAAGTTTGTTTGAGCTAAAAAACCTGCCCTGAGCACCTTCCTACATAGATGCCTCCTTATCTATTCAGGTGCTGCCCCCGTGCATACGCTGCCCCTCTTTGAGGATGCCTTCCCTATATTGTATAGGCTCTTTACCCCGTGCTATGCACCCTCCTTCCAGACCCGTAGCCACTGTCCACATCCCACTTGGCCCCTGGTACTGTACACAAGGATTCCCTTCCTTGGTTACTCTCCTTGTTCTGCTCAGGCTCTCACATGCCACTCTGCCTGCCCTTTAGGGACACCTTCCGCATCCCTCTTTGGCTCCAACATCATCCCTTGGGTTATCCTTTTCACCTTTTTGACTGTCCAGGGAATTTTTTCACTATTCTAAAAGTTTTATTTGGTTTATTTAAAAGATTTCCATGTCACTCCTTATTAAGTTCATTTTTCTTTTAAGTCTTTGAACATTTTTATAATAGCTGTTTTTTAAAAATTTATCTTTATTGTTGAATATAATAGCTGTTTTAAAGACTTTTGTCTACTAGTTCTATTATCCCTATAATTTGTTTACATATTTTATTTTTAATTACAGTTGACATACAATATTATATTATGTTAGTTTCAGATGTACAGCATAATAATTAGACATTTTATACACCTTACAAAGTGATCACATCAATAAGTCTAGTACCTATCTGACATCATACATAGTTATTACAATATTATTGACTATATGCCCTATGCTGTACTTTATATCACCATGACTGGTTTTTGTTTTTGTTTCTGTTTTTAATTGCTTTCAAGGAGAGAGGGAGGGAGAGAAAGAGAGAGAGAGAGGTCGATTTGTTGTTCCAGTTGCGCATTCATTGGCTGCTTCTTGTATGTTCCCTGACGAGCTTAAACATGCAACCTTGGCATATGGGGATGACACTCTAACCAGCTGAGCTCAGGGCTTCCAATACTGTTTTCATAACTGGCAATTTGTACATCTTAATTCCTTCACCCTTTTCACCCATCCTCTTAACCCCCCTCCAATCTGGCAACCATCAAAATGTTGGCAAGATCTGGCAAGATTTGATTCTTTCTATAGCTTAATAATGTTTCACTGTATATAAGTACCACTTCTTTTTTACCCATTCATCCATTGATGGATACTTAGGTTGCTTCCATAGCTTGGCTATTGTAAATAATGCTGCA